GGCCATCCTGAGTGAACGTGAAACAAGAACCAACCAGGGTCCCCTGTCCACTAGCCTGTTGGGAGCCCACCCCACCCTCTTCTCTTCTACTTCTTCAGTTATTGTTCTGATTATTCTCTTTTTGTCTTCATCTGTCAGTCACTGATTTTTGTTTATGTGGCTATCTTGTCCATTAAACCTTCTTGGATGACTGACTTCTGTTTCCTCTGGCTTTCTATGGCACTTTCCATCTGGGCCCTTAGATATCATTCCAATATTCTGCTTGGCATGTGCAAACCTTGCCTACCTACTATGACATTTGGGACACTTGCCTTGTGATATGGAAGGGACCAGAGCCAAACATGGGTGCTGTGTCTCCCCCAGCTGGGATCAATCACTTTTCCTATTTGTTTTGTACCCCCTGGAGGGCATAGTACAGTGTGTGTGGAGTATAAGTACAGTATGCCACTTGCTGACGAGTCAGATCACCAGGAAGAGTGAGAACCAGAGGGGATACTGGCAGCTCTGAGGGTACAAGCTAAGGAGTAGTTATCTGGGAGTCAGAAGGCAGGGGAGATATGCTGACTCCTGACATAGCTTTGCCTCTTAAATATGTTATGTGACCCTGGACAAGCCACAAGACCTCCCATCATCAGACAAAGGTGATGGCTAAAGTCCTCTGCAGTTCTGCTTCTCCAGGGCAAGTGTGCTGCCCTTTATGTGAAGGGGCTAGTCTGCCCCACTGGCCTGCCCCAAAAGATGAGGCTGTAAGAATGGCGAGAGTATGTTGGCTCCTTGTGGGTTAAGAGGAGGCAGTATAAAGTGGAGGAGTATACGAGCTTCAGAATCAGGCTCGGGCCCAAGTCCTGGCTTTATCCCTTCTTAGTCTGTCATCCTAGGCAAGTTAATCTACCTGAGACTCAGTTTTCTCATCCATAAAATGGGGATAACAATTCCCACTGCACAGGGTTGTAATGGAGTACATACCAGTACAGTGCTTGGCACAGAAAGCACTCAGTAAAGCGTCTATGACTTCTTATGGCAGAAGAGGAGGTGCAGGGCAGTAGGGATGGAGAGATTCCAGAGCTACCTGGCTGGCAGGTGAATTTCCTTCTGCCTGTCTGTACTGTGTAAGTCCTGCTGACAAAGGCAGTGTACTGGAATGCATGGAATTTTTGAACCCTTCTCAATAGGAATGTGTGACAGACAGGAACCTGTTGGGGGTGGTGAGAATCCAGCCCAGTTGGCTGTGCTCATAACCAGAGGCATCAAAGCCTGATCTGGGATGGGGCTGTTTCTTTCCAGACACTACTAGCCTTTGCTGTCAAACACTGTGGTCTGTGTTCCTTCTGAGGAGTAGCAGAAATAACAGCCAGAGCCTCCATCTGTTGATGCCTAGTATGTACCAGGCATTTTCCACACACTATCTCATTTGATGAACACCATAACCTTATGAGGTTTTATCCCCTTTGTCAGATGACAAAACCGAAGCTCACTGAGATTGAGTAATTTGCCCAAAGTCACACAGGTAGAAATGAACAGAGCTGAGATTTGAACCACAGGTTTGTTTAACTCTAGAGCCCCTACAGTTAGACACAGAGGGATACCTCACATTTGAGGTCATATAACCATACCCATTTTCCAAATGAGGAAGCTGAGACTCGGAGAAGTGAAATAATTCACCAAGAATACAAATGGTCTAGTTCCAGTTTGTACATGCTCTCATGAAACTATACTGTCCTGTCTGTCAAGGTAAGGTCATTGGAGTCCATTTACTTATGGGGAAGTTGAGGAGCAAACAGAAAAAAAGCAAAGCTCATGGAAGGAGACTTGGCGGGGGTCTAAATGTGTGTGGGGGGGGGCCTGGCAGAAATGTCCCTAAGCAGGACCTGAATCGAGATCTATCAGCTATGGGCAGAGGTCTACCCAGCCCTCGCCCCAGACATTTGAAGGAGAATTGAGAATGAAATGAATGTCAGAAGCATCCTTGAAGGAAAATGAAGCCTAAAAGCAAACTGCAGCCTGAGAGGTAAGTGTGGGAAGTCCAGAGAACACTGGACACTCTTCCCTACTGGTTACAATCTAGCATATGCTGCTCCTTTTGTAGGACTGGCAAGCATCATCTTGTTTCTTCTTTGTCATCTTCCTGAGCTATTGTTCAACTGAGTCAGATGTGGACAAAGCAAAGGGCAATGTGACCAGCACCCCAGTCCAAGTGCCCTGGTGATATAAGGATTCCTATAGAATCCTCTGAAGGGCTAAGGGGGAACCAGGTTAGGTGGGTGGCAGGGGAAGAATAGGGCAGAGAACTGTGTCTTCTGCCCTGATGTAGAGGAGGAGCTCACCTCGTCCTAGAGGAGAAGAGGAAGTGATCAGAGGAAAGCTGGTAGGATGAGATCAAAGGAAACCAGGGTAGAAGACCCCTAGTCTTTCAGAGACATAGCAGCTTAGGTGGAACAAGCCACTCAAGCCTCCCTCCCCGAAAGCCAGTGTCCATACTGAGGAGACTAGGAAACCACACTGACCCGGAAAGAAGGTCCCAGATAACCCATAACAGCCCCTGCAGATCCTCCATGTCCACCTTGGCTGTGGAGCAGGGCCACTCCCCCCGTCATCTCCCCCAGGGACCCAGAGGAGCTCACAGTAGTGTCCAAAGAAGGCAGAGGCAAAGCAACGCAAGGCAGAGTGCAGTCTCCCCTTCCAGCCTTGTGGGTCTCCTCGGCTCTCTACCTGTGCCCCCGTGTGGATCACAGACACCATCTGGCAACCTCCAGTTCTTTCTTTCTTTCTTTTTTTTTAAACTACTCTCTTGTTTGGGGCAAAGAGGATGGCAAGTTTGCACTTGTCCTCCAGCCCTACACATAATTGGTGGCAGCAGGCAAAGCTGCTGCAAGGGGAGGGGCGTGCCAGTGGAATGAGGGAGGGAGGGCATCTGAGAGTGACAGGGCTGTCAGGACAGCGGAGATCATCCAACCAACCTTTCTGTGGCCTCCAAGCCATTCCCATGATTTGCGTGCTCCCGCTCCAATGGTCATCTCTCACGCCATGCAAGAGTTCTCACGGCCTCCTCCCCTGGGCTTCCAAAGGGCACTGCCTCTTTTCACCACTGAGTGAGTCCACCTTAGACGAGGAAACTGAGGCTCATGGAGATGTGACCTGCCCAAAGGTGATCTTTGTCCCATGGTAAGAAGGAGCAGGAAACCCAAAAGCCTGAGCCAGCTTCCATCCTCCTACATTCCCACTCCATTCCTAGGGAAGAGGAGACTCAGTTCTTCTCCCGGGGGGGCTTGGGTCATCAAAACCCATCCCTCACTCCAGCTGATGATGGAGTGAGGTCTGAGAACAGAATCCTCTTCCAAAAGATCTTAGTGTTGTTGCCCTTTGTTCCTGGGTACTCTGAGGGCTCTGTGAAGCTAGTCTGTGCCCTAGCACCACTCTGTAGACAATTGGCTCTGAAGAATGAGTGGCTCCCTGGGGCTTGGCGTGGTCTCACTGGGATTGCAGCTTGTACTCCAAGAAGGCCCTCCCCAGCCTTTCAAGAGGGCTTTCCTGGAAGGAAAGAAGACACAGAGCAGGTGTGTGCGGAAGGAGACAGTAGGGGACACTGCTCCTTCGGCACAGTTTGCCCCTATTTTTAAAATATTCTGCCTGCTGCAGTTGGAGGGATAATGGGTTAAGAACTGACCGGCAGGACCACCTCCTGACGCTGTGAGGCAAGTGTGGAGGAGCGTGTTGTGCCTGTCTTTATGTCTGTGTTTACACACACAGGCATGTTTCTGTGCGTTAACTTTTGCCCCTGGGTTGAACACGTGAGAGTGTACCTACGTAAGTCCAAGTCTCTAGGGGTAGGGTGGTTCAGTGGGCTTACCTCCAAGGCCTTAATTGCAAGAGGGTCTGCCCAGACTTGGCAGCTTTAGCAGGGGGAGGCTACTTTTTTCTTGGTTCTCCAAGTGCCCAGGGACCTAGGAATGGGAATTGAGTCCTGAGGATGGGGGTGTGGTGGGGAGTATGAGTTGGAGGGGCTGACTCGGCCCGGGGTCGGAGCTGCTCTGTGATTTGAGGTCCTGTGTCCCGCATGTCGGGCTGTGTGGGTGGATATGCCCGAGTGCCCGTGTGTCCACGCTGCCCGGCCTCCCTGACACCTCGCGCCCTCTTTGTCTCGGGGTGGAGGTGTGCGTGCAAACCTGCGCCGCACGGTCTTCCTCGCGTGCGAGCGCGGGGCGCACCCTCGCTCCCTCACTCCCTCTGCGGGGAGAGAGGGCGAGCTGGAGCCCAGTGCTGTTTGGTCTGGAGCCGAGCGAGGCTTGCATTGATCCATTGATTGTGCGCGGTCTGCGCCTGACCTCCCTGCTCCCGGGGAAGCCGTCTCCATGGAGACGGGCCAGCTCCCCCAGCTCCGGATTGTAAATTCCTGCAGGCAGCGGCCCGGCAGCCTGGGGAGGGGGCCGCCGCGCCCGGGCGCGCAGGGGGAGCGGCCGCCGCGCCGAGGCCTCATTTGAAAGAAAAAAGGGCACGAAGAAGGAGGTGGAGGAGGAGGAGGAGGAGGGGGAGGAGGAAGAAAACGAAAAGGAGCGAGGAGAGGAGGAGAAAGAGGAGGAGGAGGAGAAAGGCGAAGAAAAAGAGACGGAGCCCGAGAGACGGAGCGAGAGCGAGGAAGGAAGAAAGAGAAAAGGGCGTGTTTCTGCGCGGCGTTTCCCCTCCCCTTTCTCAGGTCCCTCGCTCGGGCTCCGCGCCCTCCGGCTGCAGCTCTCTCCGGGAGAAGCTGGGCGCT